CAGTCAAACAGAGTCAAACCAAAGTCGTTGTTTAACTACTTGAAGGACTCTCCATTTACATCCTTGTTCGTGGTTTTTGCTAAGAAGCCAAAAGTAATTAAGAAGAAGTTTGGCTATCCCTATCACAACCTCTCTGAAACTACAACCCCAAGCACGTCCTGCATTAAAGCCGTTGTGATGGTAATTTAGTCACCTCTAATGGACAATTAGACATGCTAGCAGATAGAAAGCATTCTGCATAACAATCTCTGGGTTCTAATTACTTCACAAAATGGCATGGCTGTCCATGTGCCTATGGATCACAGGAGCAATAAGACGCAGGAGCACAGAAAGATGAAGGTGAAAGGGGCAGATGCCATATTAAACGTATCTATTCCTGATAAAATGCTGATGGATGAGGAGCTGCATGAAGCTTCATACATCTGTCAAATTTGACTCCCTTAAAGGTTTTCCCTCAGTGGCTTATCACTTCAAAACGTTAATATGGAAAAATACTGAAATACTTTTTTATATCACCAAATAAGATCTAGTAGGTCTGTCCAACTTGGTCAAAGTTATCTTGTTTGGAGGGAATGATGACACCTGGGCAAAAAAACTGTGACTTAAAAGAACAATACCACTGCATGAGAGGTGGAACATATTAGTTTTCTTACGATCCTTTACTCAACTCTACATGAGCATGGTCCAGTGGGCGGGGTTAAGCTTGAATTAAGACATTTTTGACATAGTTCACGTTTGTCTCATATTCATACATCTGTGTGTTCTTCTGTTGGTTCTGGTCTGATTGCACTTGATAGAATACTCAAAAGATTTGGTGCAAATAAGTAAAATATACAATAACACACTTATCTGAGAAAGAATAAATAAAAGCATGTGGCATCTTGGTCAATCCTGACAGCAGCATGTACGTATTTGGAAACATGCCTCGAGTTTGAAAAGCCTTTTCAAAACTGCTGTGTTTAATTTAATTCTTATTACCTGGTCAAATGCAACTCTTCTATTTCCCAGGTTCCAACAAAAAGTAGCCTAAAGTAAACCTTGGTTTACTGACTCAAAAGCACATCAGCTGGGACGAATTACAACTGATCTGAGATAAACAGACCGGAGTTATCCTTCAACTACTGCTTGATGTTGTCAAAGCTTTAGTCCGTTTCTGCAATTTGTAGCCAACTGTTGCATCAAACATCGTTGGTAAGCACATTTACTAAATGTTTCTAAACGTCCATTTTGGTTCACAGTGTCACTGGGCCCGGGCTCATGTGTTGCAAGAGTTTTGACCAAAGTCCATGCTCATTAATCCAGGTATAAATCCAACAATGTTCAGTCAGGTCCTCTGGACGGTTTCTTTTGTTGCTGAGACGTTTCGTCCTTTATCCAAAGGACTTCTTCAGTCTGAGGAGCCCACCAAACCAAACTGAATCCCACAAACAGCTCACTCCCAGAGTGGAAAAAAACCCGTTTTCTAGTGATATGTTTTTCAGATGAAGGACGAAACGTCTCAGCAACAAAATAACCATCCAGATGACCTGACTGAACATTTTTGACAATGTTTAAAATTCCTAATACTATTTTGCTTTTTAAAATAGTCACAAAGTTGTCACAGGCCTGTGGGACCCATCTCAAACCTCTCAGTCTAACTTCTGTTGTGCTCACAAAGCGAAAAGGGGGAATTGGAAGTATCCTCCATCCATCCGTCCATATGTCTGTGTTATGGGCATGATAACTGGAACAATAAGTGAGGTACTGACGTCCATTTTAGTGTGTGGCTGCATGTCGGTATAAGAAAGATTCTTTGTAATAATAAGGTTGTCATGTCAAAATCCAAGATGGCTGCTGCCGTATACGTGTAAAACTTGTGCATGGGACAAATTAAACAATAAGCAATGGGCAAACTTCCATTTGGGTGTGTGGCTGTATCCAGGCACAAGAAAGTTCTTTTGTTTTGTTTTCCATAAATGGTGTTTCAATTTCAAAATCAAAGACGACCACCACATAAACAAATATAAATGACCCCCCCCCACACACACACACACACACACCCAGTCATGGGAGGAAAATGTGCTTTCTAGTTTTTTATCTTACTTAAAAGGATACTTTCCTCAAATGTTTGGGGCGTCCAAAGATTAATCTATGGGGGACCAAAGCCATCACTGGCTACCTCCTGGCTCTTGCACCTGGTGGTGGATCAAACTGCTCGCTCCACTTGCTACGATCTGTCACTCTGCGCTGCCTTGGACAAGCAAAGCATTAAAACTGCCTCCATTCTCATACACAGTGTAATTCCTGCCCAATGAAGTATGTGGCACCAAAACATTAAGGTTTACTTGCATTCTCTGTTCAACTCTAGTCCAGAAAAAACACTCATCTTGTAATGATTCAAATCCCTCAGGGACAGGGGGTATTAGTGTACCATTTATTTTGTGTTTTTTGGCTCTTTATTCATTTGTTTGTTTGTGAGTTGTGCACAATCTTGTATCTAATTTTGACCCAAAATTTGTCAGGGTTGTGTTCAAATGGTGCAACTTTTGTAAAATGTGTATTTTCTTACAATTTTGTCTCTAACTAGTTAACAGCTATTAGTTGCCTAGGGTTGCTGTTGTTACGCCATATTGTTTTACATTATTACTGTTTAGCGTGTATCTTAGATCTTTTAGCGTAACGTCTGGCTTTTTTTTTTAGCATATATCTTAGATCCTTATTTACTGTTTTTTTATGTACTTTATATTTTGCTGTTTCTGGGTGTAACTGGGGCCCTGTGTACATACTTTAATTCCATTCCACCTCATGTACCACATGAGGTCGAAGTGATAATAATAAAGTTTACTTGAACTTAGGGCTGGGCGATATGAACCTAAATGAACAACTTGATATTTTTAGGATAAATTGCAAAATATGATATATATATATCATGTATTGATGTTGGAATATCTGCTAAGTTCATGGCAAAACCCAACACAGACATGTTCCAGTTTTCAGTATTTTACACCATTTTACAATGTAGCTGTTTTTGTTTTGTTTTTTAAACCTGTGTAAATAAAGGTTGAATGAATGAATATTTTCTTCCATTTATTTTTTCAATTTATATGCTTTCTTTTATAATTGTTTATTGTTGTTGCTCTTGTCCATTGTTGTCATCATTCTTTGTTGAAATCAGCTCTCTCTTGTAAATGAGTCCTCGAGGCTCAATGAGACTAACCTGTAGAAATAAAGGCTGAATGAATTAATATTTTTTCTTTCCATAAAATAATAACAAAAATATATTTCTAAGTCAAAGCTTTGTCCCAATTGTCACACGGGCGTATTTGTTAACAAACAGCTGTAACTAAAAAATAAATGTCCAAAAAATAAACTATTTACATATCTAACCTTTTTCAGTCAGGTCATCTGCAAAGTTAATTTTTGTGCTGAAACGTTTTGCCTTCGATCCAGAAGGCTTCATCAGTCAAGGAAACGCCCAACAAAACTGATTCTTCCCCCAACAGCTTACTCCAAAGTGGAACAAACCAGTTCTGCTTGTGATAAGATGGTCTCTTTGGTACGCCCCCTCCTCCATTGCCAGCCCTCTTCCTTGTTGGCAGTCTTGTCAAACTGGTTGAAAACAACAAAGTCCATGCTCAATAATCCAGGTGTACAATATAACATTTTCTTACAAAGAGAGGAAGCACCACATTAATAAAGCAGCAGCTTATCATATCGCTAAAGACACGGTTCTTAGCGGCTAACAAGACTGCTAACTTTAGCTGTCTGTTAGCCACTAAGCGCTGTGTCTTTGATACGAGAAGCTGCTGATTTATTAATGTGGTGCTTCTTCTCATTGTTGCTCTCATAAGACACAGCACGGCTAAATGAGTTTCATACCGTGGTTTGTTTCAGGGAAGGAGACTGAAAACACAGTCAGAGCTGCAGCTTACAACTTAACTTATAGCACTGTTGTAAATGGTGAAAAAGATTCATAGTTCTGACCTTTTGTCTGGACTTGTTTTCGGCATTGTCTACAGAAAACATTTTTCTGCTGCTCATCTGACAATTTAAATCAAAACCAACTCCAACTAACGCCCACTGTTTTCCTTTTAGCTCCATAGCTAAGCTGCTCCTCATATCTCCTATGTTTACTTGGTGTGTTAACCCCACCACCACCACCTGTAGAAGCAGGAAGCATGCGTGGGTGAGGGGTTGTGTGTTTAATTCAATGAGGGAGAAGGAGGGGCTGTGTGCAGATGGCGGCATAGACGGGAGCAAAAGAACTACTGTACACAAAGTTTCAAATCTGATAGTACTCGCAATGGTTGCGATAGAGCCATCGTAAATTGAAAATCTTGCGATACATCGAGTATATTCGATACATCCCCAGCCCTACTTGAACTTGAACTTTAACAGATGTAGTCAAATGATGTCCAAGCTTTCAATTAGTTGGTTAGTTAAACTCTGTGTTGCAAAAGATTTACAGCTGTGTATCATCAGCATAAATGTAGATCTGGATAAATCTGGTATTGTTAGGTCACTCAAAATACCAGGAAATCAGATTAATGTTTTGTACTTTATAGTCAGGGAAGCATGAATTAAATTGCTGTTTGACAACATTTTCAAACCATGGTACAGCTGTTTTCCACACTTTTTTTTTTTTAGCCAAAAAACTGTGTAGTCCACTCAAATGTGAACTTTTAGGTCTCTTTTACTACTTAGTTATCCGTTGGGCAGATGAGGCATCTTTCTGAGAATTTGTACATGTTATGCTTACTTACTGTTTGGTAATGGAGATGATTTATTTTGACTTTGATATTTACCAGCAACATCAGAGAAGACGAAGGAACCAACCTTTAACTTGAGTAGATATATGTTTTTGTGATTCTGGAAATAACTGAGAGTTCATCAGAAGGAGCGGGGTGGTGACAGAATTGGATCAAGCTGCTGGAAGAAAAGCTTCCTAATAATTTCTCTTTTTGGATGCTTTTATAAACTTTGCCCTGACTCTTCTTGTTTCTGCTTCTTCTCCGTTGCAGATAATGAGCTACTGTACCGTAACCGAGATGGCGATGTTGTGAAGTACAATGTTGACACTGATGAGCAAACCATCTTGGTGCATAACAAGAAATTTGTAAGTCTCTCATGCTTTTTACAATTTCCTTTTTTTATATTATTTTAAAGTCACAGGACCAATAGCTGCCCATGCCTTTCAACAATTATTTTCGAGTCCATAAATGAAATTCCCCACAGCTCTTTTATTGCACAACCGAATCAAACGTTGCATTATTTCAGCCATACTTGATGTTTGGTTATAGGGGCCAAATCAAGATATAAATGTTGCATGAAGACTGTTGTAGCTCCTGTGACGACACATTTTATCTGCCATCAAAATGTCGAACCCTAGTGCAAAGATTAATGCAACTCCCATTTGCTTCTGAAGCCAAGCAATCAGTCAAAGGAAGACATTTAAGTACTACTTTAATGAAAACACCATGCATAGTTAATCTCATCCTTTTTTTTTCCATTCTTCTTTCATAAATCTGCCTTTTATTCACAGGAAATGTACAAAGCCAGCAAGTATGAGGTGTCCCCTGACATGAAGCACGTGCTGCTGGCCTACAACGTTGCACCGGTGAGCTTTTCATTTGTTTGCTTGTGTTTTGAATTAGCAAACTGACAGCCAAATATGTCAGCTGCTTCAAACAGACAAGATGGGGGAGGGGGGTGTTGCCGTGGAGCTGAGACAGGGGAAAGATAGGAAGGAGGAGAAAGTAATCACAGCAGAGAAGTGAAGGCCTGTCGCACACTGTTGCCTGTCAACAGCGGTGGCGGGGGGCTAGCACAGCTGAACGGAACTGAGGCGGGGGGGAGGCAGAAACACAAACAACCCCCTCAGCGCTGCACAGGCTCGCAACAAGGCAGATGAGATCAACAGTGAGAACAAAAAGTATTGGCTTGGAATTGATCATTTCTGGGCCGTTCTTGAATAAGCCGCTCCGTGGATACGTGAGCTCTGGAAGCAGAGATATGCATTCAGCTCCTAATGTAGGGCATCAGATATACAGAGACATTTAACTTCCTGGTGCTTGTGTTCTCTCTATGTTCCGCTTTGCCAAGATGCTGTAGGGAGAATTTGTTTCTGTTATTCTGTGAAAGATGTTTGCAAAAATATAATCTCATGTTATTGCCTGAGATGAATGGAGAATGTTATGACACTCTAGAACGTGTCACAAAGAACGTGTTTGCATTTATTATCTATCCAAACCTGCATCACTTTGATAGATGATAGTCTTCTTTTTCTTCTGTGTTTTCTGCAGCAGCACACAGTCACACATCCATAGTTTATCTCTGTAACATACAATCTGAATATAATTCATGCTAAATACTACGTTTGCATACTTGTATACACAAATCTTCAAAATGAGAATGTAGATGGGATTTGTGAGCTGTATATCAGAGTCAGAGTCAGAGATTCTTTATTGTCATTCGCACCTGATGTGGTACATGTGGTGGAGCAAAATTATGTACACAGGGTCCCAGTTACATCC